CCTTTGGTGGAATCCTGAGTCCCATCCAGAACCTTCTGAGGTGCGACATTCCTACTAGAAAGGACACGCAGACCGGCCTGGAACAGCTAGAGCAACAGAAGATATAGCTTCAAAGAAAGATCATTAGGAAAAACCCAAAACAAAAATGACAATATGACTGGCTATTACAATAAGCAAGTTATTCGCCGGGAAGCTATCAAGGCAAGCAATCAAGTTCCTTCAGGACAAAGCCACCTCCAAGACTGAAAATCAAAGAGAACACATGAGTAGGCAAGTAAGCTTGCTGGAGACCACATTGGTCTACTGGTGACTGGAAGAGGGGGAAAGGCAGAAGAAATGGGCTGAGTTTAACTACGTTACATAGATTCCCACTGACCTGGAAATGAGAGAGTGAAGACGAAGGGCTGGTTGGTCTGAAGTGTGGTGAGACCTGGGGACTCCTGAGCCCATGGACAAGGACATAGCCACAGAGGGCTGGAGCTATGAGTAAAGCATCCAGCTGATATGAAGTGAGGGGAGATGCACAAAAACACCCAAACTTACAGATAGTACCCATTTGACCTAGCTTCAATGGCTTCATAATCAGAACTCGACTAGAGGATGATTTAAAAAAAAAACAATTTTTGATAAAGGAGTGTAAATTGCTACAATTTGATGAACTTGATCTATACTTATGGATGTAGTAGCTCAGAATATCAACAGAGAGGGAAGGAGTCTTCAGATCAAGAATCGATCCTATCCCCTCTGTATACAGGATAGATAGGGATGGACAACTTAGACAAATGAGGGGGTGATAAAGGCACAAAGTGACTGGCTTACAAGTTTTCAAGAGGGAGTTTAGTGTAAGAGTGTGTGGAGGAAGATAGAGTCCCCACTGAATAGTTTTCATCTTGTTTAGATGTGTCTGGTGAAAGGAGATGGGGATAATATTTTTATGATCCAATAGTAATTGTTAACATGACTAAATGCAACTGTCACAACTGTAAAGGTAGAAGTTTTGTAACAAAAACGGGAGAGTAGTTCATCTTACAGTCTAGAAACAGAGGACCCTAGGACCATCAAGGAAGAAGAGCACAAGTAGAATGTGGAATGTGGGATACTATCTAGAGAAGCAGTGATACCAGACATGGAGGCAGAGATGAGGACATGGAGAGAGGGAGCAACTGAGGACTCTAAATTCAAAGAAGGAGAGGCACTGAGTGCTAGTGGCCAGGAGGCAGGCTTGCAGAATGTGCCCTTTGGTTGTTTAAATTCCTATATATTCCTGAGTGTTTTTGTGTACATCTCCCCAAGCCCCCCTTCCCCCCACCAAACAAAAACCCAGAGGGAATGGAAGCAAATACTGCTGAATGAAGATGCACGGAGGAGACTGTAATCATTGCAATGAAATGATGGTGTAAAGTCAAACTTCTCCTATGTAAACTATCACTCAGTTCACACACACAAAAAAGACATGTACTCCAAACCCAGATTTTGCCATTGAATAAAGTAATTATCATTAAAAAACAAAGCAGTAGTCCAGCTTAGCTCAGAAGCATTGGTTGAGAGAGGGAAAGTTGGGTATTTGGAGAAACTAAGTCGAGTAACAGAACTGGGAGGAGGAGGATAGTTGATTCCAACTTCCCTGTTCCTGGTGATAACAATAGCTCTTTAATCCCCACAGCCAGTCTGTTAGTAGGCAGAGTCAAGTTTCATAACAGTGACTGTTTACCTAGTCTAATCCTGGTGTGGAGTCCTGGTGTGGCGTTGTGGGTTAACACACCAGACTGCAAAGCCGTTTGACCTGCAAGATTGGTGGTTCAAACTCACCAGCTGTTCCTTGGAAACCCTATACAGAGTCGCTATGGGTTGGAATCAACTTGACAACAACAACAATCCTGGTGTGCTGATGTGGGCTAATGTGTCGTCAGACTGCAAAGTTGTTTGAACTGAAAGGTTGGTGGTTCATGCTCACCAGGTGCTCCTTGGAAACCCAATACAAGGTTGCCATGGGTCGGAATTGACTCACCAGCACTTAACAACAACAATAATCATAAAGACCACGTCATGTGAATAGGAACCAAAAGAAAAAAATGGAAACAATTGATGTGTTAGGATGCAAAATTTTGGATGAATTCTTGTTTTTAAAATTTTAATTTCTTGTTATGTTGTTGTTAAGTGCTGTCGAGTTGATTCTGACCCACAGCGACCCAGTACAAGGTTTCCAAGGCTATAAATCTTTACGGGAACAGAAAGCCTCATCTTTCTCCCGTGGAACAGCTGGTAGTTTAGAACTGCTGACCTTAAGGTTCGCAGCCCAATTCGTAACCACTACGCTACCAGAGCTCAATTAAGCCATGTTTTTGTTTTTTAAAAGTTTTAAAAACTGGGAAGGAGAAATGGTTCTTCTGAAGCTAATTATGACACTTGGAAATTCTAAAAATAAGACTGTTAGTTTTCTTCTGTGAGATAAATAGTTGTTAGGTGCTGTCAAGTTGGTTTTAGTCATTGCAGCTTATATACAACTGAAGGAAACACTGCCTGGTTCTGTGCCATCCTCGTAATTGTTGCTATGTGTAAGCCCGTTGTTGCAGTTGCTGTGTTGATCCATCTTATTGAGGGTCTTTCTTTCTTTTTCTTTTTTTTGCTGACCCTTTATTTTACCAGCATGATGTTCTTTTCCAGGGACTTGTTATTGTTAAGAACTGTGGAATCGGTTCTGACTTATAGTGAGGGTACCCTGCACAGGGTTTCCGAGGCTGTGAATCTTTACGGGAGTAGAACACCTCATCTTTCTCCCACGGAACAGCTGGTAGTTTTGAACTGCCGCCAGAGCTACTTTCCAGGGACCGGTCGCTCCTTAATAACATGCCCTGAGTACATGATACCGTCTTGCTATCCTTCTTTCTAAAGACCATTCTGATTGTACTTTTTCGCAGACAGATTTGTTCATTCTACTAGCAGTCCATGGTTTAGTCAATATTCTTTGCCAACGCCATAATTCAAAGGCATCGATTCTTCTTTGGTCCTCAGGTCTTCATTATTCAGCTTTCCCATGTATATGTTGTTGTTGTTAAGTGCCGCTGAGTCGGTTCTGACTCATAGTGATCCTATATAGGGTTTCCAAGGAGCAACTGGTGGGTTTGAACTGCTGACCTTGTGGTTTGCAGTCCAGTGGCTATCCTACAGTGCCACACCAGAAGTCCTCCCATATATATGAGGCATTGAAAATACCATGGCTTGGTTCAGATGCATCATAGTCTTCAAAGTGACACCTTGACTTTTTAACACTTTAAAGGGATTTTTTGAAGCAGATTCCCCCAATGCAGTAAGTTATTTGAATTCTTGACTGTTGCTTTCACTGGTGTTATGGATCCAAGCAAAATGAATTCTTGACAATGTCAGTATTTTTGCTGTGAACATGACGTTGCTTATTGAGGCCAATGTCATACCACAGCAATATCATAGTGTTCTGAAATGCCACATAAGTATATATAAACAGGATCAAAGAGTGGGCATAATGTATGACAGCTCTTTTAATTAATTTTCATGCATAGTATACATTCACTTAAAAAGTCATGTATAATATGGAGATAAGAAAAATCAATCTCAGAGATTAATGGCAGAATTGGGGTCAAATTTCCAATGCCAGTGCTTGTTACATTATATGTCCAAAAAAATAAAAATATCTGGAGAATTGATCTCTTTAGGACCTCCAAGCTACCCAAAATAAAGCAAAGCCATTCTAATCCTAAAATTACAAACTCAGTAATTACCTTTCTTTTGTTATTATTAAGTGCCATTAAGTCACTTCTGACTCATAGTGATCCTGTGAACTGAAAACCCACTCACAAGGATCAGCTGGTAGGTTTGAACCACTTATCTTGCGGTTAGCAGTCCAGTGTTTATCCTACAGGGTTACACCAGGACTCCACTTTTTTCTTGATTCAATCCAAAAGTATGTACTCTATGCATAGCATTAAATGTATGCCTTGTGTAGTAATCACTTGTCTGCTGCTGGTGGTGGTTGTGTGTTATAGAAGTGGTTGTAGGAATAAAATGTTTAACTGAAACCTTATTGGTATGTGAGTTATTATTTTGAAAAGGAAGAATTTTATTTTACGGTTGTTTTAAAAGTTAACATATGTTAAAACTCTTTTTTTCCTTTCTTTTTAATATAAGCTTTATTTGCTGGAAAAGTTATAGACGTTCAAAAATTGAAATAGAGGTCCGATTAGCAGTTCCCATTAGTTTGATACATCTGTTACAATTAATGAACCAATATACAATCATTAAGAAAAGTCCATAGTTTAGATTTCTTAGTTTTTACTAATGCTCTTTTGTTGTTCTAGGATACCACATTATTTCAGTTGTCATGTCTTTTTAGGCTCTTTTGTTGTTGTTAAGTGACATCAAGTCAGCTCCAACTCAGAGACTTTGTATAGCGTTTTTAAGGAGCGGCTGGTGATTTGAACCGCCGACCTTCACGTTAGTAGTCCAGTACTTATCCTGCAACGCCACACCAGGACTTCGGAGCTAAATACAATGGTTTAAGTATTTAAGCCCGTTCTCCCATTATTTTCCACTCACCAAGAAATCTTCTTTTTTCTACTTTTATGTTACTGAGAAGAAAGGATGCTTCTGAGAAAGGACACTGGCTGAAATCTAATTTCCCCTCTTCTTTGCTCTTTCAATTAGAATTTAGAGACTATTTCCAAAGTGCCCGCTTCTAGACATCTACATCGTCAATCCTAAAGCGACTAGCCCTGCAAGGAGGACTTCCGGATTCCCCCGCCCTCACAGCTGTGCGCATGTGCGAGACCCGCCCTACCCCGGAACTCAAAACCGTTGTTGAAAACGATGTATTTAAACCCTCCGGATTCTGATCCTGGAGCGCAGGTGGCGCTCCTTAGAAGTTTAGGATTGGCTGAGCCTGGGACAAGTGCGGGGCGCTGATTGGCTGGTGGGCCAGCACACGGCGGCGACCTTGAGTGACGTCTCCATCACCGCCCTCGCTCTGGATGGCTGGGATTTCTGGCCACTCAGCAGACGAGGCGCGGGCTTCGGTTTCTCGAACGTATGTTTGCCGCCTCTGTTCCCGCGACCGCAACGTCCCAGAGGCGGGCCCGAAGTCGGCGGAGGCACTCCTTGGAGTTAGCCTCTGTTTCGGCCTAACAAACAGACCCAGGCTTCTGCAGAGGTTGCGGTGAGTGGGGCTTTGTCCTACAAGGTGACGGCTAGAAATGGATGAGGTTCTCTCCCAGGGATCTCTAGGTGGGGTCAGGGAAAGAACGGTGGGTAACTTCAGAGCCCTGTGGTGTGTTCAGCCCTCCAGGAATCTGGGCCGATGACCGGAACTACTGGGGGGAAGCTAAGTGGACCACAGATTCTTCTGTGAAAGAGGGTTACAGTTATTTCGTGCCACTGAAAGTTGCCTTTACTGAGAAAAATTGAAGACTGAGATCCAGTATTGCTAGTCTGCATTTCTTTCAGTAACTATCTAGACTGCTACATAGTAAGGAGTCAATTTTTGCAGTTTGTGTGTAGTGGAGTTATGGTGATACACTGGTTAAAGCGCTCTGCTGCTAATCGAAAGGTTGGTAATTCGAATCCACCATCTGTGGCGGGTGGGGGGCAAGGGGGAGATGTAGTAGTCAGCTTCTATAAAGATTTCCTTACAAGTTACTCCGTGGTGCGGTTCTAAAGCGTCACTGAAGTCAGCATTGACTCGACGATTTTGTTTTTTTTTTTTTAAGGGGGAATGGGCCGGGTAGGGGCTGGGTTGTCTAGTGGAAATAATATATAAACACAGTGTGCAAAGTTGTGTGTGAAGGCAGTGGTAGAAACACCACTATAGAGTCCAGGTGAAGTCTATATCAGAGGAGGTGATACTAGAGTAGGGTTGTAAAGGATGGTAGCTTAGCAGTGTATTTCAAATAAAGAGAACAGCTTGTGCAGACGCTCAAATGAGGGTGCAGAAAGAAGTCTACTGCATATAGTAGTTCAGTTTGGGATGTAGGATGCATGGATAAGGTGATAGCAAGGTTGGATTAATAGGATAGGACCGATTGTGAAGTCTCTGTGTCTAAAAAAAAAAATCCGAACTTTTAAACCAGGGGAATTAATTACTTTGTTAGATTTGTAAAGAAATACTCTTCTAACACCACTGTTAAGAGTTTTCAGTAAACCTGATTAGAGATCCATAGTAGAAACCCTATACAGGGTTGCTATGAGTCAAACCAACTGGAAGGCACTTAACAACAGAGCAGAAGGCATGGAAAGATAATTCGTATGGCAGAAGAAGGAGAAGAGAGAAAAATGAGTTCATGGTTTTCATGACAAGGTGCTGTGGGTTAATGTGCAGGACTGTGAAGTCAGTTTGAACCTCAAGGTTGGCAGTTCAAGCTCACCAGCTGCTCTTCAGAAACTCTATGCAGGTTTGCTATGGGCTGAAACCCACTCTGTGGCACTTAACAACAACAATGCCATTATCTGAGAATACATTTTGCTAGGCATAGATATTTGATGTTATTTTCCTTAGCTTTACCTGCTTGTGTGATATTTTGTCAGAATAAAATGTCTTATGTGTATTGCTTTAAAATGAAAAATTAATCAACAGGTGTAGGCTAAGCACTGGATTGCTAGTCGCAAGGTTTGAAGTTCACTTCACCAGCCGCTCTTTGGAAACCCTATACAGGGTTGCTATGAGTTGAAGTTGACTCAATGTTATTTAACAACAACGCAAAAATAAAGATGAGACAAATAGAGTTTTAAGACTGTTTTGTTTAAAGTAGAAAATTGGCCCTTTATATACATTCTAAAGTCCTGGTATGGTGCTGTAGGATAAGCACTGGACTGCTAACCACAAGGCCAGCGGTTCAAACCCACTAGTTGCTCTCAGAAACCCTGTACAGGGTTGCTGTGAGTTGGAACTGACTCCATGGCACCTAATAGCAACAGCAGTTATAGTTAATATGTTTACTGTTTTTGATGATAACCACATGACATAAAAAGGCTTTGGAAATTAAAAGCCTATATTCCATCCAGTCAATTGTGTCTTATAGTGACCCAATAAGACAGAATAGAACTGCTCCCTAGGATTTCCAAGGCTATAAATCTGTATAGGAGCAGACACCCTTAGCTTTCTCCCTTGGAGCTGCTATGGGTTTGAATCTTTCAACCTTATGATTAGCAGTCCAACACATAACCTACCATGGTGGTGGTGGTGGTGGTGGTGGTGTGCTGTGGAGTTGGTTCCCACTCATGGCGAGCATGTATAGGGTTTCTGAGACTGTAAATCTTAATGGGAGCAGAAAGTCTCATCTTTCTCTCATGGAACGGCTGGTAGTTTCAAACTGCTTATTCTGAGGTTAGTAGCCCGAATTGTAATCGCTGTACTCCCAGAGCTCCTTATAACCTACCGTAACATTAAGCCTTTGAAAGTCAGATGTTTCCAAAATGGACTTTTTAGGCAATCTTACAGGAGTACTTTCAATAGGATTTCGTACTTGTAAATATTTTCAGCCTCTCACTATATCTGAAATCTTTTTTTTTCTAAATGAACTTCTATACCTGTATTAATAACCTTTTTCTTTTTGTTATCTTGCTTCAGACAATTTCTTTTTATTAGAATTAAAATTGAAAGCAGGACCTAGGGAAATATAAGAATATAGGAAATATTGAGGTATAAAGAAAGAATTGTGATGTCTATATTTTTTTGTTTTGATAATATTAAACTGATTATTTTTAGTGACCAATTAGAAGTGAAAGTTAAAGGTATTTATATAGGAGGGTTTAGAAACAGTGGGAGTAATGAAATTTCCCAGAAAAGACATGTGGAGCCAAAAAAGAAAAAAAAAAAGATAATTGCTTTACATAAAGGTCTGTTTGTGGGGATGCAATATATATTTCCCATCTCTACAAGATTGAAGATTTCTGGATGAGTTTATTTGTTGTTGTTGTTAAGTACCATCGAGTCGGTTCCCACCCATAGCAACCCTGTATAGAGTTTCCAATAGCCAAAATTGTTCCTGTCTGCTGCTTTGTGGTTTTTGAACGCTGTGAGGCTTTTGTTAACATCTCTTATATTAATTTACTGGCCTGGTATTTACATTTGAGTAACAAAAGAAATGCTAATTGATTTCTTTAACTCTTTCAGGGAATCGCTAGGTAAAAATAGGATTTTCAAAATACATGATTGTTTGTATATCAACTTGAATAAAGATATTTTTTGATTTTTCCATCAGGTTTATCTATCATATGCAAGAAAGCCATGTTTTAGATCCTTCCCTCAGCCTGTAGGGATCCTATTAACTACAAAGTAACACTACATAATACATAAAAGTACTGCAACAGTTCTCCACTCTGGTGTAATGGCAAGTGCATAGTGGGCTTGGGCATCTGAAGACCTCCAATTCTAGGTCTAAATCTTGTCACAGGTGCATAACATTGGCAAATTCAGAACGTGCATCTTCTGTATACATATGTCTTCATGTGTGAGAGAGAAACATGGTTAAAATACTTCCTACTTACTTAGCTTACTTATTAAGTTGATGGTAAGAATCTTGAGGAATAATTCATAGGGAGAATGACTGAAGCATAAAAATTATTAGCAGAGTTCACATGCATTATATCTTATTAATCTATAGTATACTAAATGTAAATATCCTACATATTTTTGCATGTAATTTTGTTACTAAGTGGTTAAATAAAAAAACCTTGTTTTTATTGATAAGTGGTTATATCTTTGTTTTTGTCATTCATGATATACTTTTCTTCCATTTTTCAGTGTACACAGCATTTGAAATCGAATAAATCATTCACCAAATTATTATGGAGTGTGTAGGATCCCTGAAGAATGGCAGGTAAAGAAATATTTTTATAAAATGTTTTTTCATAGCTGTGCACATAACTTGGGAATGTAGGCTAGACTAGAAGAACATATACTAGCATCAGGAAATCTGGTTCCATATCCCAGTTCTACCACTTATTAAGTGGGTGACCTTAGTCAGATTGATGAACTTCTCTACTAAGCTTCAGATTCTTCATCTGTAAAATTAAGATGGTAATTTCTCCCTGAGTGCTGCAATTAGTTAAGGCCCATGGCTGCTAACAAAAAGGTTAGCGATCCTGCTTATCTCGAGGCATCTAAGAAGAAAGTCCGAGTCTTCTATTTTTGAAAAGTCAGCAACTGAAAAAAATATGGGGCACAATTCTACTTTGCCACACTTGTGATCTCCATGAATCAGAATTTTAATGACAACTGTTTTTTTTTATTTTTCCTTTTATGTCTAACAGAAAATTATTATGAAGAGTAGTCCTGGTATGCTGCTACAGAATAAACACTGGACTGGTAACCACAAAGCTGGCAGTTCAAACCTACCAGTCGCTCCTTGGTAACCCTATACAGGGTCGCTATGAGTTGGAACCAACTTGACGGTACTTAACAACAAATAAGATTATTGTAATAAAGAGCACCTAGTACATAGTAGAAACTTGTTGTTGAGTGCTGTCAAGTTGATTCTGACTCACAGTGACCCTTTATAGGATTTCTGAGGTTCTTTAAGTCTTTGTGGCAACAGAAAACCTCATCTTTCTCTCTCCGAGTTGCTGGTGGGTTAGGACTGCTGACCTGTGGTTTGTAGTCCAGCACTTATCCTATGGAGCCATTGTGTACCCCCAGTACATAGTAGAACACTCAGTAGATACTAGTTTTATTCCCTCTGTCCCTTATTTAGTGCATAGACTTATCTTTTTTACTGATGGAAACTTCTGGGGTGAAAATCCTATATCCTAGACAAGTGGGAAAGTGATTGGGTTCCTTTCTTCTTTCAGGCTATTGATTTCTTGACAAAAAAATTCACATTGGGTTCCTCAGAAGTCCCCAAGCCATTTCCCACTTAAGTAGAAAAGAGAGGAGGAGTTTGCCACCTGTCTTCAAATTTTCTCATTTTGTCATTAATATGAGAACCAACCAAATTGACTTGTATTATTAGGCACTTGTGTCATTTATTGCTTTTTTCCCCTTAGGGAAGAGTAATTAATGCATATGGGGTTGTTTTTTTTCCTTTCCTAACTATAATTGCATCCTTAGGGCTTTCTTTGTGCCAGATGTTCAAGATGAGGACAATGGGAAACATGATCTGAGGAGGCTAACGTATTCCTTTTGGTTTGATTTTGGCCCTTCTGTTCTACCCTACTACCACC